ATTGCCCACGGGATTCATTTACGTCATGCAACATGCGTAGTCAGATTCCCCAACTTCTCATCCCTGTTCCCCGCAAGCTACGAGCAGATCAAGTGTGCTTATCATGCATCCGCACATATGATATCCTTGTCTATACGAGATATCTTGCTAAGAGCGGTGATCGTGTTGGTTGCATACCCCAGCCTTGAATTTGCGGTGGTCACCAATGTTTACGGTGACTTTGGAGTAATAAGACCAATAAGCCACCACCACGAGATCTTACCTACATAGACTATTGACCGACCTGCATTTCCCGTCTTATCAACGCTTCTAAGATGATGTCAAATTTCCAAGGAGAGTGTTTCTTGGCGGCGCTATTTAAGGTGATGACTGACCTCCCGTATTCGACGCCACTTTCTGCGGTTGGTTATTTGTTTCGATAGCCTATGTATGCACTTTATTATCCCTGATCTGATTCGCCATGTTATCTACATTTCGGAGATTTTTTGCCATGGTGGTGATGCTTATGGCATTCTCAGCCACTGCACTTCCCAACATTAGAGTGTTGCCGTTGGGTGATTCCATCACCAAAGGAACAGGCTCAACGGGCTTGGTCGGGTATCGTTTACCGTTGCGACAAAAGATTCTTGCGCAAGGCGTCAAAGTCAATATGGTGGGAACCTTGAAGAACGGCAACATGGTAGATGGACACCACGAAGGACACAGCGGCAAGCTTCTATCCGACATCAACGGTTACTGGCAAGTCCCCATGAAGGCTCGCCCCAACGTTGTCCTCATCCACGCTGGCACCAACAACATGGACCGAGGAATCGACCTTGATATTGCAGCAGATATCATGGCCGACATTGTCGACGGCATCTTCAAAGTCGCTTCGGACGTCACCATTCTACTTGCACCAGTCATTTGGGCCAATGTTCCAACGATGCAAGCCAACACAGACAAGTTCAACGTCAAAGTTCGATCACTCATTGCGGCGCGACAAAAATCCGGCAAGAAGATTTTGGAGGTGCCGATTGATATAAAAAAGGCTGATCTTGGTGACTCGAAACACCCCAACGATGCTGGGTATGAGAAGATGGCAAATGCGTGGTTGAAGGCGATTCTTGAAGCTGATATGAAGGGATGGTTGAAGACGCCTATCAAGATGAGCGAGAGCGATGCTCCAGGAACTGGGCTGGGTGCGTGAAGAGAAGATGATGGTTGTTTCTTTAATGTACTGAGATAATAATTTGCAAGTAACTGATATACCCGATTTCTCATGTTAATATGGTGACTTAACCCCGCTCTTCAACTCATGCAAGTAACCATTCGTGTCTTGTAATTGTTCATCGGTTGATGCAAGTTGCTCACAAGACTAACCACATACATCCCTGTACCACAGCCACCAAGCCACTCACTTACTGTGCCTTGCACCACCACAACAGGCGGAGTTGCACTACAACTTGGTGGCGGGCGGAGCGGAACAGGAACTTCCGGAGTTAGTGCAGAGCAATAAAGTCCGATTTTCTAACGCCGATAAGCATCAGCTTCAATTGAATAAAGTGACGAGCCTCAACCCAACCACCCGCAAGTAACTCAAATCCATCACAAAAATCACATCACTATCATGGCCTCAAAATCTCTAGTCGTCGGCGGTACAGGCGGTATTGGTTACGCCATCGCCTGTCGCATCGCCGCCAACACTCCCTCGTCGACTGTCATCATCAGCGGTCGCAATGAGCCAAAGAACATTCCTCACTCCAACATGCAGTTCCGCGCACTAGATGCATCCTCCATGCGCGCCATCAAAAAATACACAGACGAGGTCAAGGCGACGCAGGATCGCTTCGGTACTCTTGTCCTCACCCAGGGCATTCTCACCACCGCTGGAAGAACCGAGACGTCTGAAGGCATTGATCGCAAGATGGCGCTTCACTACTACGGACGCCAATTGCTTATCAGAGAGCTCATGCCAGCTCTCACAGAAGACGCAAAGGTTTTGATCGTTTTGGACAGCGTTCGTGGAGGTCCAGATAAATTGAACTGGGAAGATCTGGATCTCAAGACCAACTTTACCATATCGAGTGCTGCTGCTCATTGTTTATCCATGACTGACGCCATGATTCAACATTACGGTACTGAGCAAAGGGCTGCGGGTACTAAGCGACACTTTATCCACGCTACTCCAGGTGTCGTCAACACCAACATTGCTTCATCGCTTCCTTGGTATTTGCGTGGCCCGGCTTCAGTTGCTGCGTCTCTCTTTGGTGTGTCGCCTGATACTTGCGCAGAGCACATGGTCAAGGGGATTGAGAATGCGGCGGCCTCTGGTGAGAAGGCTGGTACACATTATGAATTCATCACCGAGAAGGGTGTCGTGTTTGAAAAGGCAGCTTGGAATGACGAGCAGGTTCAGAAGGTCAATGATCACACCTGGCATATTGTCGATGGTGCATTGAAGGCTTGATTTGCAAGGTAGAAATTGATATTGGGGGTAATGGTAATGGTAATGACTGGTGTTCTGTCATAAGATAGTATTCGCTAAAAAGGCAGAATGAAGAAAATACTATCTGTACTCGCTTGAAAGGAATGGTAAATCCCCTGGCAAACGAGAATAAGTTGAACTTGCAAAAAGAAATGGGTTGAAACTGATCGAACAGCTAATTCTGCCTCAACACGGGATCGAACCGTGGACCTTGTCATTACTAGTGACACGCTCTACCACTGAGCCATTAAGGCGATCTGTTATTGGATGAGAGAGAGAGCCGCAAATGGGTACTATAATTGCTAGTAGTAGTTGCGTTGTAGATAAAAGCCCAACTCTGCTGTTATCCTTCCCAAGGAAATCAGCAAGTCTATCATCAAATACTGCCAGTAAATCACAATTAGAGTCATCTTGGTAGTATTACTCTCTGATAGGGGTTTTAAAACGTAAAACTCGGAAGCGTTGCCTCTCACACATACACTAATAGACAACTTCACTGTTTAAACACCCAGGTTTTATCGTAAACCCTTGAAGAAGGACAGACCCTTGCTACACAATTGGATTCTCTACAAATTCGAATCCTCTTAGATTCACGAATCAATGTTTGCCTCGCCAAAAACAGCCAAAAGATATATAATGACCTTGTTAATGGTTTGATTCAAGTGTAACTACCGATACAATCATAACAATAGGGTAGCCAGAGAACAAAAAACGGAGGCTCCGCGGATATCAACGCGCTTTGACGCGTCAAAACGCGACGCAAACCAGGGTACATAAACCCTACTTTTTAGGTGTATGTCGTTTGAGAAACGCCAAAAGTGCTAAGACACGGCCAGTCTGTTCAGTCAGTAGGTGTCCTGCCGTCACAGATTCACAAAACTCACCAAACGTCGTTCGCTGCTTGTTGATCTTGGTGACATCAACTCGTTGCCCAATTGACAGTGACTTGCTTGTATCATCACCGTAGCAGAATCCGTACCGTCCGAAGACAGGACTGTATTTCGCGCCCTTGTCGACTCTTCGGTCTTTGTTCAGTTTCTTCCACACCAAACCTCGTTCGTCAGTCGCTGTCTTTCCCGTTTCGTAATCGACAGTGATACTTTGACATCGGAAGCAGTTCGCTGTTAAAGCCATTCGTACCCCACTAGAAAATGATAGCTCTCCCCAGTAATCCTCAGCAAATGGTGCAGATGCGCCGCGAACGACGATGTTGGGTCGGAACTTGGTGATGTCCATTGAGTAGCCTTCTGACAGGCGCGACGATAACTCATTGTTGGATTCTTCCGTGACCACCAAATAATGAGCAATGTCGTTGAAAGCGAGCCTCTCTGGTTCGTGTGCCAGGAACGGAACGCTGTTCTTGATCCGTTGGGTAAGCGAACTCTTTTGCAATGCGTCAGGGCTATGAGGAGCCACCGATCCATGGACAGCCCTTGACCCATCACCGATATAGACTAATCGAACATCGTGACCAATACGGTCTGAGAACCATTGCGACAAGTCATCTCCCATGTCGTACGTTTTGGTATTGCTCGCATGGAGACTGGCTTCAATTATCGGGCGACCTTCAAGAGAAGGTTTAAGGGGGAAATGAATGATGTCTTCACTCTTGTTCGTGTTCCATTTGATGGCGACTTCGCCCTTGTCGTAATCAATTGAGGCCTGGAATAGCGCAAGCTTGAGTTCATATCCAATGAGCAGTGTCTCATACTTGATATCCGAGATGTGATTTCTGCGAACCTTTTGGAGACAAAAGGTTCTGTCGCCCTCGAACCCGAAAGGACCGAGACGTGCTTTATCTAGAGCACATCCTCTTATACCCTTCACTGGATATACATAGAGCTTCAGAAGATGTCAGCTGGGTTTTCATACCCGCGCAAGGACTTTACCTGAGTGACTTCCAATCCAGTCTCTTGTCCCGTTTTGCCCCGCAGCAACAACGGAACAGACGTGGCAAGGACAAGGCCTAAAATGATTGACCAGAGAATGACTTGGTCCATGGTTGATTAGTCTGAGTATCGCAGTGTCAAGAAAAGCAACTTCAAAGCCATTTCCCCACAGCACATACATATACCGAGACGTCCGGCAAGACTTGACAAAATGAGTATCAAGTTCCGAGTGACGTTTGGATCATCAGAAGCTAATCCCTAATAGGAAAATTGATGGGCCTTCGAAGTGGGTGCAGGAAGAGGGGAGAGAGAATTGAGATAACAGATTTTGTGGGCTCAAAAGTCAGACCAAAAGATTGGTATGCATGACTGAAGGGAGGATAGATAGTATCAAGCCAAGAGATGTAGATCGTAGTTAGGTGTTGGTGGTGGTGCCTGCAAATATATTTCTTGTCGTAGGCGATTACATGTCCGATCAGGCGACCGCGACATTCTGCAGCAAGCTCTGTGTGACAATATGAAAGCTACTCTCTTCATTGGTAACGTAGATGAATTTCACAGGTCCTCAGGTCAATGGCTCGATGGCAGTTCCCGTGTTGCAAGCAAACTTGAGATGAACTACGGCGAAGAGTCTTCAACAAACAACCGCGTAATTGGTTTAGTGGTAAAATTCTCCGTTGCCATCCAGCAATCATCGGGGAGCCCTGGGTTCGATTCCCAGATTACGCAAAATCACAGAAGCGAGCTTCGAAATATCTTTTTGCTTGTTTTGGTGTGTTCTGAGGCTGTTTGGAGCTGGTGGTTGACCGAGGTGCAGGTGGTTGGAAGTCGACTACCAGCACCACCACGTGTAGAAATTGGAAAGTACTGATAAAATTGAATAGACTTGGTATAATATTATCTAGTGGATTAATAACAGAACTGTAGAGATATGTTGTGGTTGGGGAATGAATATCTATGTTTTGCTGTGAATGGATAGTCTGATTCGTGAGACAGCCCAATGGAATTGGAAGTAACTCTATTCCTATGTAGTCTACGCATCGATGAAGCAGTGGCATAAACATAGCATTGAGGAAAATACTTTAGGCAAGAAATGGGCTGAAAACAAATAGTACACATTGTTAAAATGCAGCTGCTCAAGAAGGAATATGTATTGAAGTCTTTGTAAGTAAAGAATATGTGAAAGAAAAGTAAATAACAGCCACATTAAAGTCCCAAGCTCTTCTTCATAGCCGGCAAAATAACATTATCGTTCCAGTTCCAGATCAATCCACTGTTGTGACCAGCAAACGCAGCACCAGTCCAATAAGTATTACGAGATCCTTCAAGCTTCAGAAGATCCTTAAAGAATCCCTCACCAATCTCCTCAGCAGAAACATGTAGCTCGAAGGGAGCATGGTTGGAGAGAAGAGGAAACTTGACCTTCTCTGCTGAGCCAGCCGGGACACCGCCGACACGGGCAAGAGTTGTGAGTTCCCTGCGAATAACTGCCTTGGCATCGTCGAGGCTGTAGTCGGCGTTGTCAAAGGCTACACCGAGGAGGAACTGATCGGTAAAACCCGGGGGAATGTTGTAGCTGTTGCTTCCAGGAATGACAGGGGTATGGGCTGGTGTGAAAGCGCCAACGTTCTGGAGGTTGACACTGACACCAGCGATGTCGGCAACGCCTGCAACGTAGCCAAGGGCAGAGAACTTTGAGAACAGACCCTTTTCGGATTTGGAGAGATCAAAAGAGCTGACATTCTTGATAGTCTGGGGAATAGCAACAAGAAGCTTGCGTGCCTTGAAGGTGAGTGTCTTTCCATGCTGCTTGACAGTAACGACAACACCGTGCTTGTTCCTCTTGACACTTGTGACATGTGAGTTGAGGTAGGTTTGTTCACTGAGCTCGCAGGCCGCGGCTTCGTAAATAGTTCGGGTGTTGCCAGACTTTGGGACTCGGAATCCGCTGCTGATACTCTGCATCAAACCAGGTCCAAACTTCTTGATACCGTAGAGAGCGGGGATGGTGGTGATGTTTCCAGGGTACCAGTTGAACTGAGAGATGAGAGGAAGGAGAGCAGTGAAGTTGTTCTGTTGAGCGAATAGTCCGAAAGGCTGGAGAAGTTCCTCGGGCACAGGGTTGGGAACAAATGTATAGCCCTGGTCGATCCAAGGGTACTTGGAAAAGACATTTTGACTGTAGGCTTGCATCGCACTAGCAATAGCGTTTTGGTTTTCCGCGGCCTTGGCCATGTCTGGCGTGGGGATGGGAATACCGAGAGAAAAGTCATACTGCTTGGTGACTGTCTTAGTGTCGAAAGGACTGCCGACGATAGATTCAATACCTAGACGTTCAAAGTACGTCTGGACGGTCTTGGTGTTTTCAAAGACAACGACTCCAATGTTGGCAAACGCCTTTGTCTTGGGGTTGACGTATGTCTCAGCGTGGCCGCCGATCTGGTTCTTTTTCTCAATCACGGCAACCTTTGCGCCTGCATCTTTGAGGTTGATGGCTGCGTGGATACCTGATGAGCCACCTCCGATGACAACAACATCGACGTTGATGCTTTGGTCTTTGGAGTTGTGAGGTACAGCGGAGGCCGTTGACAGGCAAGACGCCAGGATAAGGGCAGACGTGGAGATTCTCATGGCGAAATAGTTACGAAGGAAAGTGATGGTAATGAGTGACTGGTTGTTGGAAAAGGTGGGAGTGGCAGATGGTGTGGTTTATATTCACCACCTGGATGAGCTAAACTGCGCCGTAGATCAGTGTGCTATGACAATACGACACCTCACTATATGCCGAACCATCCACGAGTAGGTTTTCTTCTGTTGGGCTCGGATTGATCACCCCTGTCCGCCAAGTTGCGGAAAGCGTTCAGCTGTTCAATATAGTTGCCTCATTTTTGAGCCGTGCTGCAGCCTCATTAGGGCCTCAGACATCCAACATAAACAACAGCAGCCATATGACATCAAATCCTCCTTTTTGTCTCGCTCACACAAATGTCAGATGAAGAGCTCATCTTCTGACTTGAGAATTTTGTGAATCCACTAGTAGCAGGTAGTGAGCAATGGATTGATTGCATCTAGGGGCTAGTCTTGTCCTCGGGCGCTATCATTTGGGTAAAGTTTAATTAATGCGATGCATGAAAAAGCAAAAAACCAACTTATCTGCCTGTCAAACTGTGCCACAATAAAACACCCATGCATAGTTCGTGAGTTCCTGCTTGCTTTGCATTTAGCCATTGGCTCACTTTCACGCTTGTTCCTGTTGAACCGAACTGTCGGGCGCAATCGGCATTTTGGATGGGATGTTTTTCAGCATCTGCCGAGCGTTGAGATTGGAAACCTTAATGCGCAACGGCGACCCATGCTAGTTGCGACTAGAGCTTTTAGTTTAACCCTTTTGCTACAAGCGTAAGGACTCCGCGGAATTCTTGGCCAGGAAAAGCAAAGGGGATCGTGAAGAACGCCCGCATGACGGAAGGTCCCTTTCTACTCCGTATATTGGCAGAGTAATCCATGAGCCGGCTGACGCTAGGTTAAAACGTGACAGGTAATTTAATTACTTTAGTAGACAGGTATGAACACAGAGGCAGAGCGGTATGTATCAGTTGTAGTTAGCTACTTTGTTGGTATCTTATTGAAGCATTCAGCTTGAACTCACTACCTCTGTGTAGCATTGCTGATCTCCAGGAAACTCCTAGCTTATCGCAGCACAGACGCATAGGAGAAGGACGCAAGTGATGTTTATATATTTCAACCGGCATTTGACGTACTGAAAATGCAACCACATAGCTTGTGGATTTAATTACTACTTGAGTTTAGGCTCTAGACTAGATGGAAGTGGTTACTATCGTTGTCGCATGTCGCAAGGGTAAAGGTGAAGTTTGTCGCGCGCCAACTGGTTGCCGATTCGTTACCAGAACAAATGAGATATAGTCAGAGCCTACCAGTCAGGACAGACCAATCGGATTCCAAATACCCGAATTCACCCCTGTTACCCTTGTGGCCTGTAGCTATTTACATGCCAGGTACGGATAGTGTATAGGAATTGGAGGTTTTATGCTTACCAATTCAGAACATTCTTCGCTCCTGGGTCGCAGATCGAACAGCATAGGTAGATATCCAGTCATTTTACACCAAGCTATTATCTCGTTTGATGAAATCTAATCTCTGTGGAGATTCTAAACATCGCTATCTACTTGCGATATGTCAAATGTATGAACCAAACTCTTGAGAATTTGGTATTGTTAGTCGACCAGACGAAAACCGAGCCCGTCTGTCAGTGGTGATCACGTAGGCAAGTCGACGTTGATGGCACAGAGTAAGATGCGCCAATTTAACTTTATTTATAGAGCTTTGAATACGCCGTACGCTAGCATATCAAGTGTGGAATGATATTTCACTACAGAGAAAGCCCTTTGACTCAACTCTCCGGCAGTTTTTAAATCGACGAAGACAACTTTGCCCAACGTGCCGGTGTTCCGAGAACTGACTTACCAGTTTCAATCCGTTGACACAAAAACGCTCAATTGAACAAATAACATGAAACAAGTTCTCAATTGTGGGATGATTTGATCCTTCAAGGCGGTGCATGAGACTCAGCCTCAACCGCCCGAGGCGTTCTCGGCTAGGTCGGCTAGATTATCGGGGAATTGCACGGATATGAAAAATGCAGATATATCAGATCAGTCTCTAAATACCTCTCATCCCATATCTTCTGTGACTGTCATGTTTCTTTTATCCATCATCTTGTAACACATTCCTACCCATACGTGATATTCACTACCAACAGGCTACATCTACTCACAACCCGAACACCATTACTAAAATGGGTTACGCCGTCGACATTCACATCTATGGCTTCGGTCTTTTCCTATTGTACCAAGGCCTCATCGCTCTGGTTAATCCACTAGGGCAATTCAGTCTCCGGGGCATCAAGGATACGAAACCCTCCGACGATATGGCTAGTTATGCACCTATCTACATGCTCGGGGCCAGGGATATTTCTATCGGTGTCTTCTTCATCGCTCATCACTACGTCGACAACCTAAATGCCGTATTAACTTTATTGGCCATCATGGGTTTCTTCAAGATTAGTGATGCCATTGTGGTAATTGCTGTTGGGGGCGAGAACACAAGCACAAAGGCAGTTGAGAATTTGGCCTTTGGAGTTGGTCTTCTTGGTTGGCTTGTGTATCTGGCCAAGAACTGAGCAGGTGATTGTGCCTTCTTGTTGTTCAACACACTTGCCAGCCACTTGCTCCATCTGTCCAGCCTAATTAGTCTTGTCAAAATCCTCTTTTAGTGAGGCACCGTTAAATGAGATATGAGAGTTCCTGCGATGCGTTGGTAAACGTCAAGACTTAATGTGTGTTTGTGACAAACCTGCAGCCTTCCCAAGTTCTCGCTCCCACACCCGCTATCATGAGGCGAGAGTAACAGCCCTGCTAAATATTTCTTCGACTCCTGCCTTTTGATAACTTGCTGTCGCAGTGTCAGAAATGCCATTTAGAAAATTAAGTTCACGTACATGCTCGAACGAGTTGCGCATGAAGAACCGAACAGTAGTGACCTCTTGCGTCTGTCCGATACGATGTATGCGCGCGAGGGCTTGCTCCTTGAGAGTCGGGTTCCTAGCTAGTTAGCAACTTCCTTATGTTTTTTCTTTCAAAATGCTGAGTATACCAGTGAGGTTCCATGAGATAGGCTCTGGTGGCTACCGTCAACGTGAGGCTGAGAAG